TGGTTTAGTTTGCTCTAAGCCCAATTCTAGTTCTTCCGAGGCCCAAGTCTCTTTTCTGAGTTTTGGCCTGTTTATTCGTTTAACGGGCTGGGCGCTTTTGATGGATTGAGGGTGCCAATTTTGGGCCAAAATAGGCGACTTTAGAAGAAATGATGTGGGCCTTTGCTTTTGAACTGGGCGTGCCAAATTTAAGCCCAAACAATGCCCCCATTAAGTCTGAACCGTTTTTAAACGGTTTCCAGATTTAATGTTTTCGGCTATTTAATTTGTGCGCGCCGGTTTGAAATATCCCCTGTCTGCCACGTCCACCTACGAACTAGTCTTCGTGGGAAATTGGTCATTTACTAGCTAGTTACTAACTTGTCATTATCAGCTTTCAGGTGGCGTCTTGTCTTTCTTTTCCCACGATTTCGAGTCCTTTAAAAGAAATTTGAAACTTCCGGTTCCTGTTCATCTCAAAACCCAGCTTTTGTTGGGTTTTGTCTGCTCCGTGCTTTTGCAAGGTTTTGTTTTCTTTCTTTTTTCTTTAGGGTTTGTATTCCAGTCTTTTTTGGCTGGTTTTTGGATGATCTTGCTAGATCTGCTGCTTTTGTGGTAGATCTCATGTAGATCTCTCTGTATTAGAGGTGGAGCTGCTGAATTTGGTGGATCTACATTTATTGTGCTTGGGGATCAAGGGGATTAGGAGATGCTATGATATTCTTTGGAACGTCCTGGTGGAAGTTGAGCGGTTATGCCCTCCACTCTTGAGGTGTTTCCTGTCCCATGAAGTTTGAGAGATTGTTCTCTGTCTTGATCTTCTTTAAGTACTCGTTGCTGCAAGGGTTTGGGTCCTCCTCATCTGTAACTCCTTGTTAGATGGGTTTAAAGTTGTATTCTGTTTTTTTAACAATCTTGTAATACTTGTGTTTAGTTGGTGTTGTTGTTTTAGTTTCTATATTGTAAGAACCTCCTAGATGTGTTCTTATTGCTGTATCTGGGCTTGTGCTCTGTTCTTTAATGAATTCTATACTGTTTCGCGAAAAAAAAAAAAAAAAATGAGGACAAGAGCAAGATAGTAAAACATTGAGCCAACTATCTCATATGCACGGGTGGAATCACAGCCAAGGCTGTGGTGGGTTATAGCCTAGACAAGTTTTGAATTAAAAAACAAATATAAACCTATATCTATATGGCCCACCACTACAAGAAGTTTGTTGCCTTTTTGTTTTTTGTTTTTTTTGCAAGTATGCTTTTATTTTTTTGTGAAATTATCTCCCGTCTTTGTTTTGTGAAATTATCTGTTGCCTTTGGCAAAAGGTTTCTGAAGAAGGAAAAAAAAAACTTATATAGCCCATCATCAACTACAACACATTACGAAAATATTATTTTCTCAAGTTTATTTGTATTCACTCTCAAGAACAGTACAATATATTAACATAATTATATTATTCTTGTGTTTACAACTAATATATAAATAAAATATAATTATTTATATATTTGCATTTATGAAGCTTATTTAGTTGGAGCCAATAATTTTTTAGAGATTCAAACTGAAAAGATAAAATTTCTTTTTTTAAAAAAAAAATCATTAGATTTTAAGCTAAAAATGTTAGATAGTGCACCACCAAAAAATTACTAGTTCCGCCCTGCTCGTATGAGATTCAACAAGATATGCAAACATTAACAGATTATATAGTACTTCATAATAGGATTCCAGCTCCCAAAGTGTATCACTATTTTTTTAATGACATGTTTAACCACCTTTGGAATTCTCAAGGAGTTAGGCAATGAGTCTCTTAATCCCATTGTGTTACTGTTCGGTGTTTAATTTAAATAATACTATACTTAAATATTAAAAAAATGTTTTCCATGTTTTGGAACTTGGAAAGAAAAAACAAGTGTAATTTTCCCCCACCCTCTCTAGGGGGAAATGACACGGGTCCTCTTGGCGAGAGAGAAAACAAAGCCAAAAGCACAGAGCAAAGCTACGCCTCCTCCGCCTCTAGAAACCGTAGAAAACCAGAAAGGGGCTCGTGGGTCGTGTGAGTAGGAGGTCGTCTCGTTCTCACTTCTCTCAGCTAACCAATTTACCAATTAAATCTTCCTTCATCGATTATCGAAAGCTTAACTGCTAGTACGGTAAGTCGTGACCAAAACTCTCTGTTTGGTTTCCGAGAGACCCTCAGAAAATTGAGAACAAAAAGAAAGCTTCAGATATTACAAGGCCATTCAATCCGAATTTTGCACGTTTAATTTTAGTTTCCGAAGCGTATTTTATAGAGGCTCATTTGAGTGGTGGTGTTGTTGGCAGCCTCAGATTGAGAAAATATGGAGGAAATGTTGGCTATAGTTCTTTCTATGCTTCTTGTTTTGGCATTAATTCCACTTTATCTATGGAAACGGCGTCAAGATTCTCGATTGCCTCACGATCACGAAGAAGAGCCGCAGGTTTGATTTTTCTAAACCTAATTCCATTGCAATGTAATTTTTTCGAGATTTATTTGTTTTCATTTCATAATTTGCTCTTAATTTTTAAAAAATTAATTTAGGTTGCTCAGAGGGAAGGTGTAGTGCGTGCCACTGGTGCTCCTCGGATGCGAAGGAGGCCGGCTTCTGGAGCAAGCACATCAGCTGCCGCTGCTACACCAGTTGTAGAAGGTTTGTGGTCTGCTGTTATCTTTTATTCACATTGGTGACTAAAGGAATGCTTAGAAGTGTCTATTTTCATTTTCTGGGTTTGATATTTAACGAGTAAGAGAGTGGCGTATGTTGCATATAAGCTGAATGGATGAATTATATGACTGATTGGGACTCTGTGAGGTTTTGCGCTGTTCATATCATTTTGATTGGATATGTTTTGTGTTATGCATGAATCATGATTGAAATAGATAGCAATTGGTACACGATCTTATTTTGCTTTAAGGTGCCAAATGTTGAGTAGTGGTAAGACAATAAAGAATGAAAATATAAATAATGTCTTTCCAATAGATAATGCTCTCATCCAATGACGATTGGTGGGGGAAAATGCGGTTTACAAGGTTTTATCTAGTGTGGTTAGACCTGTGATTATTCAACGAGGAGAAATAGGTTTATTCATTCATGAAGAGACTTCTAAAATGAGGCAGTCGTATTCAGTTTAGAAAATGTAACCTGCATAAGTGGAGGTGCAAATTTGGACTTGTCTGTTGCATTCACTAGTGTTAGGTACCTATATTAAGGAAAATTGTTTTTCCTTATGTAATCTGAATAAGTAGAAAAAGTGGTGTTCTGTCAAATAAAGTGACCATCAATAATTCTAAATACAGAAACTGTTGATGGAAGTGATGAGGAAGGCGAGGGTGAGTATTATGAAGCCAAAGCATCTAAGAAAAGGGAAAAGAAGCGTCAGGAGCGGGAAGCACAACGACAAGTATTGTTTCTCCTTTTTATCTCTTCATTTGAAAGATTGCATTTTCTCTCTGTCTCTCTCTCTGCATTTTCTAGTAAACTTGTCCTGTCATGAATGTCCAGCAGCCATTACATTTTAATGAGTTTGCAGATATCTGAATATCGAAATTTAGTGATAAAGACATAAGCTGATTCCTTGTAGTCATTGAGGTGTAGGAAATGTTAACAAGTTTGATTACTACAGCATTCTATAGATATAAAATACTAAAACATGAAAAAGCATTTATTTCTGCTGGTTCCTGATTTGTTTTCATGGTTTTCATTGCATTCTTTTTATTTTATTTCCCCCTTTTTCCTTTCAAGTGAAGCAGAATTAATTTGTTTTATTTGGTTCCATCCCATTGTTTGAAGGCTGAACAAGCTGCACGTGAATCAAGGAATACAAAACAAGACCGCTATGCTGAAATGCGGAGGAGGAAAGATGAGGAGCGTGAGGCACAGGAGCGTCAGCTGGTATGTTGATTTTCTGCTCTCTGTTGGATAATTAAGATGCGTATACGTGTGTGTGGTTGTATTACTGGCTGAAGATATGACTATTGTTTTATAGGAGGAAGAAGCCAAGGCTCAGAAGGCGAGGGAGGAGGAAGCTGCTGCCTTAGAGTTCGAGAAGTGGAAAGGAGAGTTTTCTATAGATGCTGAAGGTACTACAGAAAATGAAGTGCAGGATGGACATCAGGATTTGCTCTCTGATTTTGTGGAATACATAAAGGTAGTTTTCAGTTCTGTCCTGTTACAGTCATTCAGAGATATTGTTCTTTACTTTTGTAGCTACCCCTTGAATATTTCCATTGGGTGGGCATCAAAACTAGGGATGAAAATGGCCTAATGATCTATGGATATTAAGGTTGGATTGTAGTTTGTTTCTGGTCCAGTTCAACCTGGTCGTTGGCTTATTTGCTAAACAATTTTACTCCCTAGCTGTTATGGTCAAACTTGATTTGAACTTGAGGTGATGCCTGAGTGAATGAACCACAATGAGAAGCTTGTGCGTACAATGGCTAAATTCTCTTGTTGTGTCCTCCTTAAGATAGCTTTACTTGTTTAGAGTTTATTTTTCTTTCAAATGTTTGCATGTCTTCCATATGAGACCTCAATCGGATGAGTTAATGGTTGACAAAGTGAGACTTTCAAGTTGAGGTTGTGATTTTGTTATTAATACTACTATTAATCCTGATGTTGCAGAAACATAAATGTGTACCCTTGGAAGATCTTGCTGCTGAATTCAAGTTAAGAACTCAGGTAATTTCTCCACATATTTTCCTTGAATAAACATATAAATCAACAATTTCCATGCCTGCTTACATACCTCAAATTGCAGTAATAGATGAAGTTTTTATGTGAAAACTAGTAAGGCATATGGAAAATATCTTTTCTAAGTGAGTCATCAACTGAGTGCTGATCTTTTCATATCGAACATGCTTTCTTTATGCAACTCTGGTCAGGAGAGAAAGTAACCCCTTCTTTTTGGTTGATCAGGTTACATTGTTTTGAATTTTTTCCAGATTTGTCTTACTAATTTTACAATGCAACTAATGGTTCATGCAGGAATGCATCAATCGGATTACCTCTCTGGAGAGTATGGGTACGTTCAGAGCCATTTCATCATTGAATTGTTTAACCTAGTGGAATAATGCCTTGCTTCAGAAAGTAAAATTCCCTTTATTGAGAATGAAAATGTTGTATTTCTTTGTGTTAGGGCGACTTTCAGGTGTCATGGATGACAGAGGGAAATACATATACATCTCCCAAGAAGAGATGCAAGCTGTGGCAGACTATATTAAGCGTCAGGGTAGGGTTAGCATTTCACATCTCGCTAGCAAGTCCAACCAGTTCATAGACTTGGAGCCAAAAGCACAGTTTGTCGAAGAAATAAGTAGTGCGGCAGAGATAACTGTCACTTGATTTAGTTAATGTACTTTGTACGTGTAAAGGACAATTACGACAGTGTAATGAAAATTGTGGCAACCTGAATTAACTGGATATGTAACTAAAAGAAAGGTGTAGGAGGTAGGGATTTGGTTTTAAGCAGTGTTTTACGTGACCGCGAATATAAGAAGAAAGCTATTCTGAGAAATTCTTGGTGCAGGTTTTAAGTGTTTTATGTTCCTCTGTCTCTTTAGTTTGAACTTACATGAGAGGAACAAATGGTCTGACTCTGGTTCGCATGATTTTTTGCTACAGAAATTATCGTTCCTTTGATTTAAAAATAGATAAAAGCTCTAGCAGAAAGGTTTCGTTCCTTCCTCTGATCTGTCAGCATCACGTCTCATAAAAAGTTCAGTGCTTCTTCAGAAAACACATTTAAGTACTTATTCGAACAACACTTGAATTTTGTATAATTCTTGATCTACTTCAAACAAAACCATTTCCAACTAAATCCCTTGTGTACTTCATTAAAGACAGAATCAAACTGGTCAGTTCAATTTGATCCAAACATACATAGCCGAATTAGTGTGAAACTGTTCTGTACTAAAAAGCAATTATTTTTATTGAAAACCGAACATCTGATTCAGTTTGGTTCGATCAATCTATTGTGTATCGATTTTTTTGGGTCCATCTCGAGAACCGTCAATTATTTAATAGGGTTGAGTCAATTATTTAATAGGGTTGAGTCAGTGACGGAACTAGGATTCTCAAGATGAGGGGGCCAAAATTTGTAACGCAATTGCATATAGCTTTCTCATCTTCAATTTGGAGGGGCCAACACTAAGTTAATTGGAGAAATTGCTAATAGATTATAAAGATTCGGAAAATAAGTGGGGGCCAGAGCATAGCACGCCTTCCTGTGGCTCCGCCTCTAGGTTCAACTAATCGTTTCGGACTTAGATCTAAGAATCCCATGATTTAATCTTGTTTTTGTTCCATATTTCATGTGATCAACTTCTCATTCATTGCATATGAGTCACTTTT